GTGTTTTAAAAACTGATTTTGTGATTTTTCTAACCATGACTTTATATTTTTTTCAAAGTCGAATTTTTTTTTTACCAATTTTGAGCTTCGTAATTTTAGATGTCAAAGACGAATTTCCATCAAATTTTCTTTCATGAATTCTTTCTTTGATAAGATTACACGAGCCTACCTTGTGTAAGTCTATCAAGGGAAAAATACATATCGACTAGTCATACCAAGAATAAAGGAAAGTCAGTTTTGAAATATTGTTATGCTCTTTTCTCTTATGAGTTCAAACTCGGTCGTAATGCAGCACAGAAGGCTCGAAACCTCAGGGTGAAGTTAGTGTTGGTGAAACAAATGCAGTGATGCTGAGACATTTGCAAAACTCCGGACCGCAGGTGTATGCGGCGGGGAACGAGCGCTCAATTATCCCTTCCGGAGAGCAACGCGTTCACCACCACACCATGCGGATCCTTCGTTTCGCCTGTCTCTCAGCTAGTTCTATCAATCCCGCTGACGGGTGATTGCTGATGGTAGTGATCGATCGATAGAACTAGCTGACAGGCGAGACGAAGGACTCGCATGGTGTGGTGTTGAACGCGTTACTCACCGGAAAAGATAATAGCGCGTTCGTTCCCCACCGCAGGCACCTGCGTTCCGGAGTTTTGCAAATATCTCAGCGTCATTGTAGTCGTTTCGCAAATAATACTCTGCTGTGAAAACTTGTAAGAGGTAGTAAATAAAAAGTGAAAATTAGTGTTGGTGAATCAATAGTGCGAACATGGCTCTGAAAATTTCGATCTGGTGATTTCGACCTAGAAGATAAGGAAGGCTGCGGACATCCCAGTAAACTTGGCGACGACAAATTGAATGCACTGGTGGAAGCAAACACGTGAACAGCTGTTTGAGGCTCACAGAACAACATGCGGTAAGCACAGAAACGATTTCCAATCACTTGAATCGCACAGAAAAGTCAAAAGAACTCGAGAACTCGGCAAGTTGGTGGCGCACGAATTAAACTATAATTTAAAAAATACCGTTTTCAAGTGTCGTCCACTCTTGGCCGCGCTGGGGCACCGGAGGACATCTGAAGGCGAAGCTACACCAAAGGAAGCCTATGCTGACCGTCTGGTAGTTTGCTGCTGTTTCAATCCATCACAGCCTTTTGAATCTGGGTAAAACGTATACGGGGTAGAAGTTTATCCAAAAACTCGACGAAATACTCCAGAAACTTCAAGGTTCCTCCCAACACTAGTCAACAATAAAGGAGCATTCCTTTTTCACGTTAACGCGCCGCACTACCGACGCTGCAAAAGTTGAACGAACTGACGTATCAAACTCTTTCTCATTCACCATACTCGCCAGACTTCCCACTTACCGGTAACTACTTCTTAAAGCGTCTCGATAACTTCCTATACGAGAAATGGTTCAGAACCCGCGCCGACGGCGTAGCTGTCCTCAAAGACTTGGTCGAGTCCACAAGTTCAGAATTCTTCGTAACTTGTATGAGTAAACTTGTTTCCCGTTGTAAAAAATACCTAGACTCCGATGGCTTCTGTATCTGCAGAAAAAGTATATTTTGAGCTGGGATGTCCCATTTCAAAAATTCAGGTTGAAATAAGTCATCAAATTCGAAAAACCTAGTAAATAGGATGCGATTTGAAGTCGCTTCTAATTAATAGGCTTCTTCCCTTTTATAGGAAAACTCGACAATTATCCAGCGAGTATCAACAGTGACCTTAATTTCCTGCTCTCGAAAGAGCTGATATGGCAACGTTTAGTGAGACGAGCATGGAAAGGTCAGTGAAATATCAGGAATACTTTAGACGGATTAAATTTGGGAGTGTTAAGGAAGATAAAAGATAAAAGGATAAAACTCTCAGCGTTGATCAATCATCGAGAGGTGCCCTATGAATTCCACATCATTAAGCTTCGCTAGAGGTGATTGAAAGCATATCTAGCCTATGCAATGACTCGCGGTGGCCTACCGATTAATCAGTCAGTGCTACTGTTCTTCCAAACAGGTCTGGTACCAACTTTCCTACCCCGGAAGGATGGAAGGTTTGGTGAGCCTGTGGCGCAGGATCAAGCCGTTGCAGGGCACCTCTAACAGCTCCGTCAACGCGTACCGCTAAGGAGATAACAGCCAGTTCACTGGATGAATCTGTTTTCTAAACGAATGAACCATTTATGCATTAAGCGTTATCTGATGATGTTATGAAAGTGTGTGACCCTAGATTGCATACCAATTTAAACTTTCCAGGTCGCGAAAAAGGGAAACCGCTGAAACGTCAAGAATTTTAAACAGTATAGTAACAATCTCCTGTCTGCTCATCAAGAAAACAGTGACTTATTGAACAATGCCAAAGTTAATAGAAAGTCGATCTCCTTGGATTTGTTTGTAAGAGCATTTCTGACTCTACGACCATTCCTATCCCTCGAGAATTCTGAACTCAATGTGACTAGAATGAATGATCTCCTAGCGCTGTCCAAAGCGCAATCGAAAGACCGATGTTGAAAGAATCCCGCGCCATGTAAATGAAAGAGAGAGTCCGAAATTCGGCCTCACATTGAAGATCAGCAAAAATTTTCTGAGAAGTCAATGATCAGATAGGCTGGACGCGTTTAACAATAACTGGTTACTAGCAAATTTTAGAGATAAAGTCCGACGTTATTGCGAAGCACACAACCGGGGGACGTCTGACAAGATGGCCACATTGCTTCATGAAGTTTCTAAAAAAATAGTGATATTCTCTAATCCCTAGAGCAAGAAGGAACTGCTGAAACATTTTTGTTCGTCATATTCCGTATCTATTCCATATAAGAGGTAAAAAATCTTTCGGTGATCTCAAAAAGAACAGTCTGACCTCAATTTGCCATCGACGCTGCTCCCTACGAGGTGTACAACCTTTCCAAACGATTAAAACGTTAAGAAAAAAAGGTTGCTTTTCTGAATACCTAGCGAGATTCTTAAAGAAATTAGATCAACATAAATCAATGAAAACAGGTTCATAGGCGAAAATGAATAAGATAGAGCGCATATTTAATTGTAAGCCATTCAAAACTACTGTGCATAAGAAAAATCTTACAACGTTATATATATTATATTACATTAATATTATATTATTATATTATTATTAATATTATTATTATACTTTGTTATATTAATATTATATTATTTATATTAAAACTGAAAGAGAGGTGAAACGAACTGCCCGCATGGTGTGGTGGTGAACGCGTTAGCACCTGGAAAGGGTAATAGCACGTTCATTCCCCACCGCGTAGACCTGCAGTTTGGAGTTTTGCAAATATCTCAGCATGGCTGTGTTTTTTTCACATATAACACCCTGCCGTGAAAAACTGTAGTAGGGAGCAAATAAAAAATAGACATCGTTTTTATATAAATTGCAATTTGTAACGAGTTTTGTAAAGCCAGCGTCGCCTTTATACCAGAATTTTTAATTTTTGATATAAAATGATAGTGAAGGCAGTATTCCTGCGGAAGAGATTGCTCATTTCAGGTGGGCATATAGCGGAACTCAATAAGCAAGCTATTTCAAGTACTCGACTTAAATGTCTTCCGAGTGGTCCGTTTTCAGCAAAAATCCTGAGGTTATCGCCACATCTGCTAGTATGTCCGTGGTTCTGCATGAGTTCTTTCTTCTCTACCATCTTGTAAAATCTATGGCGAGTGATAGCTGATGAATCGAAGCGTAACTAATCAAAATCGTTCGCGTTGTTTATGTTGTCCGTAGTAACGCACGAACTGCTACAATATGAAAACGAACATATGCGGTCGATGACAGTACTGTTTGACACGAAAACCTTTTCAAGGCAACAAATTGGCCTTTCAAGTCAAGGTGAAGGTTAACTTTTTATTTGCTGCATGATACAATTTTTGACAGCAGGGAATTATGTGAAATACAACCATAATGATGCTGAGATATTTGTAAAACTGGCTCGCGGATGTTTGCGGTGAGGATTGAACATCTCGTTGACGGGTGATTGCTGATGGCACTGGTAGATAGAAAACTAGATGAGATTCAAGCGAAACGAAGTACCCACATAGTGTGGTGGTGAACTTCTTAGTCTACGGGAAGGGTAATAGCGTGTTCGTTCGCTACCGCAGACACATGCAGCCCGCAATTTTGCAAATATCCCATCATCAAAGTGAAGGATTAGGAAATATTGAAGCGACACTTGCCAAGCATAGTATAATTTTTCGTGCATAAAAACACTCTTCGGATGGTTTGTAGTAATTTGACACTTATGCAACCAGCCAACCTCAATGGCGGCTACCCGATGAGAAAGAACGGCCGCTTTAAATTTTCAACCCATATACCTCAACTTACAGTATACCACCTTGTTATATGCAATAAAAGCTTTTGGGTTCAATGCATCCTTGCTCACTATGTAAAATTCTTGTTTTGTCACGATGGAATTCTGATTTCCTGGAGCCTATGGTATTTTTTCCGCCTTTTTGCTTTTGCTTTGGGACCATATTTCGAATACCAAAGCAAAAGACCAAGCAAAGTTCTGTACAGAAGACACGACGGTGTTCGTCAAAGCATCGTTGATGCTTCCATCAGCCACTCACTCTGTCGCTGAAAAATCCAGAAAGATTTTGAATCTCGTAAACAATATTTTGAGGCTTCTTATTCTAAACACACCTAAATTTGAAGAAAACACTGGTTAGAAATTAAACATTTGGCTGATGCAATAGACTAAAGTCTCTTCTACAATTTTTTTAAGGTTTTGAACTCTTGAAAAGCTAGCTCTAGAGATTGCGTATTTGTCGTCAGTAATCGAGAAAACAGCTTCGCCGAGAAAGGATTAAATGTGTGACATTCATGTCGATAAGCATCATGATGGTGAATTATTTAGCGCAGTACTATCTAACTGCGCTCCTCCAGATCTTAATTCCGCAATTTTGCGTCAATCGCTTCACGATCTAGAAAAACTAGTTGTATTGTCGGTGGATATAAATCGGTGCGAATCGTCATCGAATCCTTGCCAAGATGAAGTTCGAAAGTCGGACACGAGCCTATAAAGTAGTCGCCTACTCTGCTGTCACGTTCTCACTCTTTGCAGTGCTTTCGGTTTGTTTGCGATCTTCTTTTTGCTCAAAAGTTCAACCAATATTATTATATGGCAAATTTAAGGTGTCTTTAACTGTACCGATGATTTACACCTATGTGATGCATATTCGAGAACAATTTCACTCTGATATAGGATACTGCGAGGTACTCTTAGGTCTACTTGCCAGTCCTGATATAAACACTCCACGACACAAAAAAGTTTCAGAATCACACTAAGGACATGTGGAACGAAGTCAAGCAAATAAAAAGTACTCCGATCAATCGCACTCGTAACGCCCGTCAAAGTGGTTACACTCCTGTACAAGGTGCCGGCGCAAAACAATGTACACCATGTTGTAATCCTGGATACCCTGGTCCACCTGGACCTCCTGGGAAGTTCGGCCGAAACGGCATGCCTGGAGCACCAGGAATGCCTGCAATACCTGCTCGGCTGTCAGCGGAACTTTGCGAGCCTATCACACCCACACCGTGTAAGCAGTGTCCCAGTGGTGAGCCTGGACCACCAGGAGAAGCAGGACCACCTGGAGATGCCGGATCTCCTGGTCAGTCTGGACGAAATGGCAACCACGGGTGATTTACTACTTTTTTATTTCACCCGATCTGCTTTGATATGCTGATATATACGCTTATTCATTTATGAATTGCTTCAAAAGTGTTTTCAGCGTTCCTGGGGAACCAGGACCGAAAGGACCACCTGGGCCCCCAGGACAGCCAGGAGAGCCGGGACCACCAGGAGAGCAAGGAACGCCAGCACCTCCTGGCTTTACTGTCCCAGGAGAGCCTGGTCCACCAGGAGACAAAGGTCTACCTGGTCAACCTGGACCAGCCGGGTTACCAGGAGCTGACGGAACACCAGGTGAGTTCACGATTACCATATAAGCCCTCGCAATACTAGATAAACGATTTTAGGACAGACGGGACCTAAAGGACCTAGTGGCCCTGAAGGTTTGATTGGTGCCCCCGGCAAACCTGGTGCACCTGGACCTCCTGGTGTTTCCGGACTTGGTGGTGAAAAAGGAGTCTGTCCAAAATATTGTGCTATTGATGGTGGAATATTCTTCGAGGATGGAACAAGACGTTAATACTGGCATTTCATTTTTCAGAAACAGTTACCATATTATGGAAGCAATAAGATAAAAAAGTACCAATGGTTAGGAAAGTTATTTTAGAAAGTCAAATAAAGTGTTTATACGTCGTGCTCTTTATTAAAATGAAGCTTGAGTTTAATATAAGCGTGAATGATCATCACAAGCGCTAAATGCGTGACCACGAATTCCTAGTCTGCATAGAAAAAGCAAAACGGACAAACGCGATCCAACAAATAAGCTTATGGAAGGACAGTCATGAACTAGTTTTCACGTGCTGGTCAAAACCGTGTACTGGGTAGAAAGTGCTCTGCACAGATCCCTGAAGGATGCGTCATGTGTCTGACTTCATCAAGCATCGTTAGAGGCAGTTGACTTATACAATGAAAGTGGCAAACCTGTGTATCAATTTGGAGTTTTCATCCTAAGAGAGAAGCATGGTGCGGATTTTCTGAACCCTAACGGATGGAAGGCTTGGTGAGTTGAGGGCGAGGGATTGAACCAATGACGTGTGTTTTACATGCGGTGTCTAAAACTGCGTAACACGTACTTCTGTGTTGTTTTCAACCACCGTTGCGATTGCTAGCTTTTCACGCAAAATAGTGAGACCGTTAATAGAATCCAATAAAGGACAAAGGATAAAGCTCTCGTAATTGATCAATTCCTGAGGTATGCGCCATGGATTCGACTTCACTAAGCATCGTTTGGAGGTGATTGGATGCATATCAAGCCTTCACAATGACTCGCGATGTATTGAGCCAGTGCTGCTAACCTTGCAGACAAGTCTGGTACCAATTTGTGACCCCGGAGGGATGGAAGGCCTGGTGGGCCATAGGCGCGGCGATCGATTGCACGTACGTGTTGTAGCGTGCCCTCGACTACTGCGCCATACGCGCGCTCTTCAATATATTGTTCCAAAATTCAGACATCCTCAAATGACTATTCCAAAAGTGCTCCATTGAAAGCATTGCTACGTAACTTGGATCATTCACGTAGTTTCAACTAAGCTCTTCAAACCGATACTTTTTGGACAAAATACGCTGAAACAGCACACCGCAGAACACGCTTACATTTTATTTTTGTTTTGCTTATTAAGCCATCGCAGCTAGTGTACGAATCCATGCCCTTCCTGCACTTGATTCGCTTCCTTCGCACCATATCCATAAATGTCTTCGAACATTTTGCGGGTAGGGTCGGCTGCCACATGAGGATTTTCGCTTTTCTATTTAGACAAGTCTGTTACTAAAGTCTAACTCGGATTAATGGGAGACTTGGTGAACTCAAGGAGAGACCCATTCTGTCCTGGGTCCTGATGAACGGCCTCACTAACACTGCTCCAAACGCCTTCTCGAATATATGTATAGGTATATATATATATATAT